TAATTCTTTTGCTTAAAACTAAAATTCATGCCAATATTTTTCCATGATTTATAATAATTGGAGTAATGCAAATGCATATTTTCTAAAAAAAGTCATTTTTAGTGAAATTTTGCCGGGAATGGGGCTTTGAGTTCTTTGGAACACATTCTTAACCAACCGTGCCATCCATGTGAAATGCCATATTAGTGGTAATGGCAGTAATGTACAGTCCATGCTGAAACCCCTGTTTTGTTTTGTAGGTGTAGGGGGAACCCCGGGGTCCAATTAAAAAAAAAGGGCGATGAACATTTGTTGGAAATCACCTTAAAACTGCCGATGCTAAACGCTTTCAAAGTTTTGGTAACAAGAACAAAAAAAAATGAGAAGAATATTCCAATATCATTCAAACTTATGTTACAATTTCACAATTAAAGAAAATACAATATCATTAAAATTAGAGAAAAAATATTGTTATAAACAACGAATAAAATTTTAAACAAATAATAAGCACCAAATTAAATAAGGAATTGAATTTTTCAATTTTTATAGGTTGATTATTATTTAGGCCTAGCTCATGAAGATGCTTTTCTTTTGATCCTGTTGTTTTGTTTTTCTTCCCCACTTTTTTTTAAGAGCACTTCATAAAAAAGTTCGTCTCAGCTCAGATCAGGTACTTATTCAAAATCAGTAACAATATAACCACCAGAGCCTGAGGCAAGGCCTAAATTAGTCCTACTGTCTAGGCAGCTTGTCCTGCTTCTCTAGCCCTTCACCAGACCTGGACTTAGCCTAGCCTGGTGAGAATTCAGAAAGGACCGGGCCCTTCCTCCATCCTAGAGAGGGCCTAGCTTGTAAGGCCAGGCAGGGGGAATGGCCTAGCCTAACCTAAACCTGCCTAAACTAGGCATAGGAGGCCTCGAAACGTACAGCAGCCCTACCTATCTAGCCTAGGCCCTAGTCTTAGCTTAGTTATATAGTCCATTAAACCTGACCTCTAAAACTTGTAATGTATGGGTATTGACTACTACAAACGATAACTTATTTACTTAATACCTGATCAAATTTCTAAAATAATTAATTCCTTTCTGCATGCTGTAAACGAATTCAGTTTGTTTATGTTTCCGTTTTTCATTACAATATTATAGATGGCGCCATTGCATTTTTTGAACGTACAGCTTTGTATATACACATTTGAACATTAAAATAATAATAATTGCACCATTTTGATGGTTCAACAATTATTAGAAATTATTAGCTTTCAACTGAATTTTAGACTAAACAAAGTTGTCCTCGCCAATTAACAGACGGGTTAAAACTGCATTATTTGTGTTCCCTGTGCTTTGCAGCAACTTTATTTATGATTTACTTGATTCACCTGCTGCTACTCTTTTAAAATTGGATAGCCCTCTATTGTATTAATTGGAAGGAATCTGATGGTCTTTGATCCGTAATGGTATGGGATTAGTCTCTGCATTTTTTTAAAAGAATGTTCGTAGTAAAACGTTTATAATAGAAGCTTTTCCGCCTGTAACTTGAAGCTGTATATACTTTCTGTTCTAAATAGGCCTACATACAATACGTTTTTCAATGCTTCATGAAAAGAATTATGCAGTGCTCCCTCCAATTCGATACCCCCTCTTCGAGACCACTTTTCCAAACACCCAAATAACAATCTTCAACGTTCTAACCAGCGTGACCACTCACAATTTTTTATATACCCAATGACTGGGTCGAAATTACCCAAGATTCAGCAAATATTGCCCAAAATTACCCAAGCTTCCTGAAAATGCATTAAATTTGTAAAAAAATGTGTTTTTCGCATGTATAGTTTCCCTTTATTTCAATTTATAAACCATTTTTTATTGTAATTGTTTGTGTTAATTATTAAAATTAATATTCATGAGGTGATAATACAGATAGAAAAATACGCCCTCAGTCGGCCAGTGTTGTCAGTAGATCAGTGATCAAGTTTCATTATGTAATGCGTTAATTAGGTAAGATCAATTGCAACGCAAATCACAAATAAACAATTCTGAACCCATGTTTCATAGCAACTATCAGTCAATTAACAATGTTATGTGCACTTAGTTGAGTGTTGCTTACTTGAATGGACTGACATATACTTTGTTACTTCTTAATTCTTCCTCTATGACAAAAATATTTAATTTTCTTAGTAAAAATAAAATACCCAAGGATTTGAACGGAATACCCAAGAACCCAAGACCAAGTCAAAATACCCAAGATGGTCACACTGGTTCTAACACAAAGCCAGCCCTCTAATTGGAGACCAACCCTGAGACCACACCAAATTTTCAGGTCCCAAAGGTGGTCTCGAATTGGAGGGCGACTGTATTTGGAAAAACATTATTAACTCATCATCCAATAATCTTGGTAATAATTACGGTATAATAAAGAATATAAACAAATGACGGCCCGGTAAAATAATTATGAATATAAATATAATTACAAATTAAACCAGGCCTACAACAAGTCATGATTTTCTCAGATGAGATGAGGAGGCCTGGTGTTCGAATGGAAATTGGTGGGGGATGTACCCGTTGGGTAGACCGAATTCCCGACTGATCAAAGTGAGCGGCGCCAGGGGAAGGGGAAAACTGAGACTGGGGGTTGCAAATGTTTCGGACGGCGTGCCCAACCCCTGTACCCCTTAGTTATATACTCCCTTGTTTAGAACATTAGAAGAATGAATGTATTATCATAAGCAGGAATGAATTATGACAAATTATCTTGCCTCACAGTTCATTGAAAATCTATTATGTAACGCCCTCTATATACCTACTGTAATCGCGAGTTGGTAGACCCTATCCAAGGTTCAACAAGGACCTTCTCGGTACTTACGTAAATATCATACACCCTAGGTATATATGCGGCACCGTGACTCGGGCAAGTGGACGAATGTCGGGAACGCCACCAACGATGATGTAAAGGTGTACGCCTAATTTCCAAATAAATTGATTTATTACACAGTATTTTTTTTTTCTCAGCAATTATTTTTTTTGTGTGTGTGTGTAGGGGTAGTTGTGGGTAAGCATTTTAAGGATTAAAAACACTAAAACACAACATTCTGCCAAAGTAGATGTTTATATATGAATGAGTAATGAGCAAATCTAAATTATACATTACTATATTTTTCAATAAATAATTAATGGAATAATTAATTTAAAAAAATATGTGACCACGGTAACTATTGTTAAGCAATAACTACTACAAGAGTAGGTCTATCGACCGACACGGTAAAAAGTGATAAAATGATTTTGATAATAAACAGCGATAGCATTAATAATTTAAATGGAATTCTTGTAAATAAAAATAAAATAAAATAAAAAAGGGGAAAAAACCAATAAACAAAAAACGTACTGTTGTTGTACGCCGTTGCTGTATGATGATGATAATATAGAAAAATAATATTGATAATAATAAATTATTAATAATTAGTAAAATAATAATAAAATGAATGATAATATCAATAATAATAAATCCATTCATTCATGTACAATTAGGGAAGTGGGTCTTCTTGATTGATTGAATA